CTCTTCCTGTATACAGGATATCGAGCCCTGCCAGTAACAAAGCTGCCCTCGTAGCGATAAGAAATATGATGATAATGGTAAATTGATCCAGCTTTGGCTAAGCAAAGAGTAAGAAGGTGAATGAAAAATATTAATATCTAAAGAGCTTTGGTGTAATATATTGCATTTACTGAATTTAAGGTAGATGGTTTCGCCTTTAGGGAGTGAGGATATAGTCCGATGTCATATCGAGCAAGAATAAAGGAATATGTGCAAAACTTCGGCCCTAAGGGATGCAGCTTTCCAGGATTCAAAAATAGCAATAAGAGCAGAGGAAATAGGTTATGTTTCCGTCGATATTGAGCTACAATTGTTTACACTATGCTCTGGTACTGAAAAGTAAGAAAGGGCGAAATAAATTCTTGATTGTATAAACTAACCTCGTCTCAACTTGCCGTAAAGTTTGGCCCAGTCATCTCTTGGCAAACTTGTACATACACCAACACCATCAGATGACGTTTTGCTAGAAGTGGCTAAGTGCAGACAGCGATCAAGGCTGGCACTAAGTTCGGCAACCGAACAAGGCTGACCAGAATCTGGGTGATAGCAAGCCACCTCGAAAACCTGATCGTCAATGGAAGAGAAGGACAAAATTTAGAGTAATAGCATTAAATACAATGGAAGTTAGGTGATGCGAGAGGGATTACCTGGCCACTGACGAAGACACAGATATGGGAGCTCAGTTTTAGATCATCAAATGAGGCCCGACGCATTCTAAGCGAGTCTTCTGGCAAGCCTGGAATGCGACAATTGCCCAGGACGACATAAAACTGTTCCATACACATTAGAGTCCCATCGCGTGCAACTTCAGCTCTAAGAGAATTTGTTTCAATTATTTTCTAAATTAGCAATACAAAAAAGTATAGAACTGAGTTCACTACAAGTATAAAAAAAAAGAGAGTTTAACCTAGAGTGAGAAATATAATTAAAACAGGCAAAAATTTCCCTGACTCAATTTGCTAATGACTGTTGATCTCCATTTAATTCAAAATACGACATGGTTAGTGTGCACAAAATATACACAAGTAAATAGTAAGTAAACCAGAAATGTAATCGAAGATATGAAGACCAAGATGATGTGAACTTTTGTGTGGTCTCAGTCTCCTTTCGTTGTATAAAGCTTGTTTGACCTTGTTTTCGCAACTTGGTCATATTGGTAGGAAGACTTAGAGGAACACACATAGTCAGGTGCCAACCCACAAACATTGTGGTTCAACATTGAACCTAATCAAAGCGAGCAGTGCCATAACATTTGTGGGTTGGCACACAAGAGAATGGGGTATCGGAGGTCATAGACTTGGCATTAGGGATAGAAACAGGATAGACGCGGCGGAGACTGGAGCTAGTTGGCTGA